GGTTTTGCTTTCTAGGAGGACTTTTTTTGCCCATGCCCTCTTTTTTGCCCTTTTTTTGTCTCTGTTGTCTACTCTGAGAGGTTTTTAGCTTGTTTGTTGTCCTTCTCAGTCATATTTGAGTTACACATCTGGGAGCATGCTAAAGATGTTTCTTAACAGGCTGTAAACAACCTAAATATCCATCATTAGGGAAACTTGATAAATTATTATGGTATATCCATATATCAGACTACTAAGTGGCTGTTAAACAGCGAGGGAGATCCAATGTATTAATAGGAATTGAACCTCATGATATATTAAATAAAAATAGCTAAGGTAGCCCTAGCCAGTTTGGCTCAGTGGATAGAACATCAGCCTGTGGACTGAAGAGTCCCGGTTCAGTTCCGGTCAAGGGCACATGCCTGGGTTGTGGACTCGATCCCCAGTAGGGAGCATGCAGGAGGCAGCCAATCAATGACTCTCTCTCCTCATTGATATTTCTATCTCTCCCTCCCTTCCTTTCTGAAATCAATTTTTAAAAATATCTTTAAAAAGTAGTTTTCCATGAACTATTTTTTAAAAAATAGCTAAGGTAATGGGAGGACCGTGTATATGATACACTCACATGAGTGAGGAGAAGAAAAAAGGAAGAGAGATATATGTTATATATGCATAGAATATATTTGGAAGTATACAGAAGAAATAAACTGGTTTCCTCTGGGGAGGGGACCACAAAGTCAGAAGTAGGAGAGACACTTTAACTTTTAATTTCATGCTCTTTATTCTAGGTAAGTCTTTTTTAGCATGTGTGCATATTCTTTTTTAACTTATATGATTCTTTTAAAAGTTTTTTAAATTGATTTTAGAGAGAGGAAAGAAGAGGAAGAGAAACATCAATGTGAGAACAAAACATCGAAAGGCTGCCTCCTGTATGATCCCCACCTGGGATTGAACCCACAACCTGGGCATGTGCCCTGACTGGGAACTGAACTGGCAACCTTTCGGTGCATGAGACAACACCCAACCGAGCCACACCAGCCAGGGCGTTAACTTATATTTCTTGATAAAAAATGTATTTTCCTGCCGAAACCGGCTTGGCTCAGTGGATAGAGCGTCGGCCTGCGGACTGAAAAGTCCCTGGTTCGATTCCGATCAAGGGCATGTACCTGGGTTGCGGGCACATCCCCAGTGGGGGATGTGCAGGAGGCGGCTGATCGATGTTTCTCTCTCATCGATGTTTCTGACTCTCTATATCTCTCCCTTCCCCTCCGTAAAAACTCAATAAAATATATTTTTTTTAAAAAAATGTATTTTCCTGAGAAGGGGAAAAAGAGGAATGGCAAATGATTTATGTGTCTTTTATTTCATGAAGTCTTTACCTGTAACTGCCTTTAGAGTCCTTCAAGAAGGTGGAAACTGGACCTTTGGCTCTCCAAATACATACAGCAAGGCCTGTATTTCCAGTTCTTTATCCTTTTGAGCCAGAACATAGAGTTATACTCCTTTTTCCTCTACAGTGGAAATTTTGCTCAGCCGACAAAAGAAAGCTGAACTTCTAAAGAAGATGACTGATGTGGCTGTTCGAATGTCAGAAGAGCAGTTGGTTGAGCTCAGAGCTGATATCAAGGTAAAACTTCCTTCTTCTTTCTGCCTTTCTTCTTGCCCTCCGGGACTAAAGTAGCAAATCTCCATAATTCATGGCCATATCTAATATATTGCACTCATGGTCTTTCCTTTCAAAACCTGGCCCTCCTCCAGGTTCCCTTTCTCTGTAGTGATACTGTCATCTATAGTTTTCTAAGCTGGAAACTTTGGGAAACTTCTTTTTCCAGCATGAAATCTATCAGCAGACCCTGTCCATTTGAATTCCTACTGAATCTCAGATCTGACCTTTTCTCTTCATCTCCACCACCACTGTCATGATTAAGTAACTATTATCTCTTGCTTGAACTGCTGTAATAGCCTCATAACTGATTCTATTCTCTTCTCCCTCTCCATCCCTCCAAATCTGTTCCTCATACTGCAGTAACCTGCTTCAAATTTTCCATTTCGTTTATTATTTGTTTTGAAATATTGATATGAGAGAGACACATCAATTGGTTACCTCCTAAACATGCTCCAACTGGGGCCTGGGATCAAACCTGCAACCCAGATACATGCCCTTGACCAGGAATTGAACCCTGTGACCCTTCAGTGCATGGGGCAAAGCTCTAACCATTGAGCCACGGACCAGGGCTCCATTGCTTTAGGATAAAGACTATAATCCTTAGCTCAGCCTGTAGGACTCTGTGCAGTTGGCTCTGCCAGCATCATCCTTTCACACCATGCCCCCTTATTCTCATTTCCAGCCATATTAACTTTTCCTTTCTGCAGACACATCCTGCTCCTTCCTGCCAGAGGACTACTGCACATGCCGTTCATCTATCCAAAATACTCTTCCCTCCCTGCCACTCCCAGCACACAGTCACTTCTCATCCTTCCTGATTTTCTTCCTATTTTGTGCCTTCATAGCAGTTATATTCCATGTACATTTGATTAATCTGTTATTCTCACTAGCTGGTGAACTTTACAATGGAAAAACTGCTGTCTCTCCAGTGCCTAGCATAGTGCCTTGGCACATAATAGGTATTCAATAAATTTATGTAGGTATGTATGTATTTTGTTCATCCCCACCTGAGGATATTTTTCCCATTGCTTTTTCAGAGAGAGTGGAAGAGAGAGGCAGGGAAGGAGGGAGAGAAAGAGAAAGAGAGAGAGAAACATCAATGTGAGAGAGACACATCGATTGGTTGCCTTCTGCATGCACCCCGACAGGGGGAGGGGCAGGGAGTGAACCCAAGACCCAGGATATGTCCTTGACTGGAAATCAAACCTGCAACCCTTAGGTGCGCAGGCTGATGCTCTAACCACTGAGCACACTGCCCGAGGCTATTATTAAATATGTTTTATTATTGTTTTTAGAGAGAAAGGAAGGGAGAGGGAGAGAGAGAGAGAGAAACATTGATGAGAGAGAAACATCAATCAGCTGCCTCCTGCACAGCCCCCACCGGGGATCAAGTCCACAACCTGTGCATGTGTCCAGACTGGGACTTGAACCTGTGACTTCTTGATGCATGGATCAACATTCAACCACTGAGTCACACCAGTTGGACAGTGTTCAGTAAATATTTAAATGGTTGGTTGATTCTGATTTTATAGAGAAAAATGAGCAATTTGAGATGTTAATTGTAATCTGTAAAGATTATTTGTGTTTAACACATTTTTTTAAATGTTTAAATTTTATTTTTCAATTATAGTTGACATGCAATATTATTTTACTTTAGTTTTAGGTGTATAACATAGTGGCTGACAATCATATAATTTACAAGATGATCTCTCCCCCCAACCCCATTTCAAGTACCCACCTGGCATTATACATAGTATGACAATATTATTGACTATATTTCCTATGCTGTACTTTACGTCCCCATGGCTATTTGGGGACTACCAATATGTACTCCTTAATCCCTTCACCTTTTTCATCCATAACCCCAACCCCTCTCACCTCTCCCCTCTGCACTCTGGCAACCATCAGTTTGTTCTCTGTATCTATGAATCTGTTTCTGTTTTGGGGTTTTTTTGTTCATTTTATTCTTTAGATTACACATGAAAGTGAAATCAGATGATAA